GGGACCGCGCGGGCGGGAGCGTTCGGCGACTGTTCAGAGACAAACGTAAAGTAGTGCAGAGGGTGGAGCGAGAGAGGGAGAGAGAGACACACACAAAAAGGGAGAGACAGACCAGGAGCAAAGGGAAGCGAGAGGAGCGCCCAGGCCCCGGACCGAACACGACCGGAAATGATCGAGATTCCGCGCGTGGGAATTAAATTAAGCTCGAAATGTCCTCCAAACGGCGCAAGAGGAAAACCGAGCAGAACGAGGCGAGGGGCTGGAAATGTGGGAGGAGAAGGGCACAGCTAGGGGGCAGTCAATGAGGTTGGATTTGCAGTAGGGAGTTGTTGGATCGGGCGGGGCGGGCGGGGCCCGGGGGAGAGAAACAGGGGCTGGAGCGAACCTCGCCTCGCGCTCCAGCAGCTGGAGCAGCTGGGCCCACAACAGGAACAGAACGGGCCATCGGAGGGAAGCGTCGAGGAGCGACAAGAAATACAGAGGAAAATACGCCTCCGCTGTGTTCCGCTGTGCTCCGCTGTGTTCCGCTGTGCTCCGCTGTGTTCCGCTGTGCTCGCTGGGAGGTGGCCGACGGGGCCCCGCCTGCCGACGGATCGGGTCCGGACGGGGGAATGGGTAGTAAAAGGGGCCTGGCCGGCGCGGGGCGGGGCAGGGCGGGGCGGGTCGGAGCGGCGGGCTCTGTTTAAGGGCGACCGCTAAGGGACATGATGCGCGGCGCACATCCAGGCACGGCGCAAGCTTCGACCGAGCAGAGCTGGCGGCGCTGCCGTGCCGGCCAGAGAGCTCATCTCCCCTCGCTCCACCCTGCCCCCCGTCGTCTCGCCCCCCCCCCCCCCCACTCCCCCGCCCCGCCCCTTCCCTACACCACAGAGGGCTGTTGTCCGATAGTAACCCCACACCGATGGCTTACGCGCAAAGGTAGACGAGGTATATGCGCGCTCTGCTATTCGAGCATGCGCAGCCGTGCATGTTGATCCGATCTTCCCCTCTGCATATGTATACAGTGCTTGAAAGCAAAATAAGGACGCAACCGGTCAATGCCTTTTTTTGTCCCGCCCCCCCAAGCCCAACCCTCCACCCTGATTCCCCCGCCCCGCTCTACTACTCTCAAAGGTTGTTGTTTTTGTTGTTGTTAGAATGAAAATATGGCGACGGCGCCGTCGGCGCGTCGCGTCGAGTACGTCGCCGTCAAGTGGACGCCGGGAAGAGGGGGGGGGGGGAGGCGCCGAGCCACACCACATCCCACCCCACCACCACACCCCACCACCACACCCCACCACGCCGCGCCTCCTCGCACAAACAGAGATAAAATAACTGCACGACCCCATCGCCCCTCGCATCCCTCTCTAACATAAAAGCGGGCAAAGTTTTGCAATGGATTAGGCGAAAGTCACATATTAACTTCTAATCGCTTCTAATACGCTTAAAAATCATATTGCTATCTCATGAATCTTGGACCGTCCAGCAGACTTCATACCTTGGTGCCAAGCCTGCGTTCGATGCACGGACTCTTGGTTTTGTAGTTCATGAGCGGCAAGAGGTTCCCATTGCGACGGTGTACACAGCCCCACGCGTTTCGGGTCCGTCCAATACGGCGGCTGGTGCAGTACCGACAAGACCTCCGAATGTGACACATAATTACTAAAAGCACTGTAAAAAATGAGAGACGGATACGGTACCAGGTACGGTACTTCGTACGTGCCAAACTGAAACATGCTACGGAGCATAGAGTACGGAGAGAACGTACCTACTGAATTTTTACCTTGGAGCTTTTAAACGGCTTCACCGTACCCACAAAAAGCGGTACGGAAGAACCGTTTTCCGACGCTGTAGCATTCAAAGGGAGGTACGGTCGGTCCGTACTTAGCGCCGTTCAAAAACGGAAAACACCGGATAAAAATTAGCGGGTCTAACCGTCATTTTTATATTATTATTTTGTGCAGTAAGTACCGCAGACGAAAGGCGGGAATAGAATTCCGTGAAGTTCTTTGTCAAATAAACCGGGAACTTGACGGAGAAACTGTTTGCTGTGAGGGCTGCACCGGGCCGGGTTACGCTCACCCACAACCGAGTCTGTCAGCGCTCAGCCCTCCGGCCGCCATCCCTTCCCCGATCCCATCCGCGCCCAAGACGGAGCGGAGGAAAAGAGCTTCCGACAGCAGTCAGTAACCCTCCGAACAGCTGCACGGTTAACAATAAGACTTTCCACTTTTCTTTTTCACCAGTAAAATCGTTAAAAAAGAGCGATTTTTCAAGTCAATGTGTTATCATGGTTTAGATTTCAGTAAATTGTTAAATCGCGAGTCGTGTCAAAAGGCCTGCGTCAGTGGAAGTAGAATTTTAGGCCACTATACTGTTCGGGCCACCAAGCCGACGCTATGCAGGGCAAGGACAGGGCGCGCTGGCCCCCATAGTGCCGCCACGCCACGCCCCACCACGCCGTTCCGTTGGACATTGTCACATTTATTTGTGGCACCCCGTTTCCCCCTTTTTTTTCATCCCTCTATTTCCCTTTCTCATCTCTCTTGCCCCCATCTCCCCCCCCCCTCTCTCTCTCTCTCTCTCTTTCTCTCTTTCGCCACCAGCCTCCGGCAACGCCCCCGGCCCCCTTTGCCGCGGACACAGTAGGCTCGTTTGGGTCGCTGTGTCGCCGTGGAGCCATAGCCACACACGGAAATGATCATATGAGAGCGAGAGGGAGAAAAAGAGAGAGGGACGAAGAGGGAAGGAGGGGCAAGAAGAACAAGGAAGGAAATCAGATCTCGCCGCGCTGCCGCCGCCGCCCCGCCTGTGCC